TGACCAGAACAAGCACCCAAGGCAAGCCACTGCGAGCATGGGGCCGTGGTGGAAATTATTGACCCTGCTTTGGTTACAGCTCACAACTTATTTTGTTACATTGGAAGAGGATCATGTGCTTATGTATATATGCAAGATGTATATTTGTAAATACTTTAAAGGTACTTAACAAATGTATATATGTTGCAGTATATATTTGTATGTGTGTGTATATACACACAGAAAACTGCTAACCTACGTTTTTGCTCCTCAGTATACACATACATCTCACTTCAGTGAAAAGTACATTTGCTGTGGTATTTCACAGACACTTCTTTACAGGTTAAATACAAAATACCACTTAGTGATCACAGTTTAGGATCAAGGTTACACCACTACCATTTCCGTGTTAAAAAAATTATGTCAGTTGTTTTACTTCCTTTCCAATTCCAATGAGAACCTGTTATTTCAGATTTAAAGAATCCCAGAATTCACAATTTAGAAACTGTATCTCAAAAGCAATACCTGTGCCAAGAAAAATGGCTTTTTCTTACATCTGCTGTTTCACTTGCTCAAACCACCTCAAACACATGGGGAAAAAAAGGAAAAACAAGTTTACACGAATATATACGTTTACAGGGGACTTTCAGCTTTACTGATTTTGGGTGGGCGGAGGGAAAAGTGCGAGTCACTGCCCTTTCTTCTGCACACTTATGCTTTAATCAATAATGGCTGTAATTCCCAATTACGCCCTTTAAAACAGAAATAGAGCTCCCCTTGCACACCGGTCCTGCTATTTACAGAAAAGCGTATTCAAACCAGAAGGTCAGAGCAGACAAAGAAATCCTAAACAATTTAATCTGATCAGATGTTTCCGTGTATGTGTGTATAAGTATATACATACAGATAAAGGAAAATGAAAGGACACACCCCTGGAAAACCACCATGCCCGACATTTCACACCCTACACATCTGTTAAAGAATTATTTATAACGAAGGTGTGGGTGAGCAATTACATTTTTAAAAAACCATACATGCTGATTAAAAAAATACATCATGCAGCAATGTGACTGGGACCCAGCAAAGACCATTCAGAGCCCGAGCAGCAGACTGACTACCAAGTCATGGGGGAGGAAAAAACGTGGATATATGCGGCAGCGGCTCCCAGAAAAAAAAAGAGGG